TTGAGACTTTCGACGAAGCTGGATTCCCTAGATACGTTATGGATGAGGTTAAGGCCCAAGGCTTTCCCGCCCCTACCGCCATTCAGTCCCAGGGTTGGCCTATGGCTCTTTCAGGTCGCGATGTCGTTGGTATTGCCGAGACAGGCTCCGGAAAGACACTTACGTACTGCCTTCCTGCCATTGTCCACATCAATGCCCAGCCTTTGCTCGCACCTGGTGATGGCCCTATTGTCCTTGTGCTCGCCCCAACAAGAGAGTTAGCCGTTCAGATTCAGCAGGAGATCACTAAGTTCGGCAAATCATCGCGCATTCGCAATACGTGTGTCTATGGAGGTGTCCCTCGTGGTCCCCAGATCCGAGACCTGTCTAAGGGAGTCGAGGTCTGCATTGCCACGCCCGGACGTTTGATTGATATGCTCGAAGGTGGCAAGACTAACCTTCGCCGAGTCACATACCTCGTTCTGGACGAAGCTGATCGTATGCTTGATATGGGTTTCGAGCCACAGATTCGAAAGATTATCAGCCAAATTCGACCCGATCGTCAGACACTCATGTGGTCTGCTACCTGGCCTAAGGAGGTTCGTGCTCTGGCCTCCGAGTTCCAGACCGACTTTATTCAAGTCAATATTGGTTCGATGGATCTTTCTGCAAACCATCGTATTACACAAATCGTCGAAGTAGTCTCGGAGGGCGAAAAGCGTGATCGCATGATCAAACACCTTGAAAAGATTATGGATAACAAGGAAAACAAATGCCTTCTTTTCGTTGGCACGAAACGTGTGGCGGATGAGATCACGAGATTTCTCCGCCAGGATGGCTGGCCTGCGCTTTGTACGTTCCAACCTTGCGATATGAGTTGTCCATTGCTAACATGTTCGCAGCGATTCATGGCGACAAACAACAGAACGAACGTGACTGGGTTCTTGACCAGTTCAAGACCAACAAGAGTCCCATCATGGTTGCCACTGACGTGGCTTCTCGTGGTATTGGTATGATTAAAACTCCCCCATCCCCAACCCTTTCCCACAACTTCCAGCAGAGTTATATCCGATGTGCTTGACTGTGATGTCTAGGGGCTTTCTTGATTGCGCACATATGTCTGGCCTAATCGTGTCTCGTGGTTCTCCTTCCCCCCGGATTATCGGGATCTATAGTATGGCCTAAGGGCCGTGTCGATGTTTCGCCTCGTACCTTAATTTCCTATGGTACAAGCAGGCGAGGTTGGGCATTTCTTGATCTTTTTCAAGCTATTTCTAAGATTCCCGAATCCTGAGGACCCGGACCAGACTATTGGGATCAATTCCAGATTGGCAGTGTTGATGCAACAGACAGCCCCACAGCTTCATTCTCGATGGAGAAAGCACGGAACAATATGCTTATGGCACCTATATCCGCCGCTGGGACTTGCTTCTTAGCAACTCGTTTTCTTGAGCTAACCTTGTGTGATAAAGATGTTCGTAACATCACTCACGTGATAAACTATGACTACCCGAACAACTCGGAAGATTACATTCATCGTATTGGTCGTACCGGTCGTGCTGGCGCCAAGGGTACCGCCATCACATTCTTTACTACTGACAGTATGCCTCATCACCCTACTCGCCCTATGGGGTTAAACTAACCTTCGTCACTAGATTCGAAGCAGGCTCGTGATCTCGTCGGAGTTCTTCAGGAGGCTAAGCAACAAGTCGACCCAAGATTAGCCGAGATGGCGCGATACGGTGGCGGAGGTGGCGGCGGTCGTTACGGTGGCCGTGGCTACGGTCGCGGTGGCCATCGTGGTATGTTACTACCTTGACTCCTATCATAATAGAATGAACTAACGCAGCCGTCAGGTGGTGGTGGTGGTGGTGGCGGCGGTGCCAATGCCATGCCTCTTGGTAACCGACGCTGGTAACTGAATCTTGCAACAGGCGCCCGCGTAATCCTAACAATTTGATGCCGCAATGCTTGTGGGATCATGCCGACATTATCTCTTTTCACAAAAGCACAAATGGCGTTATCTAGAGGGTCGGGCTGATTAGACATTGTAATATCGGTCTCTGAGTCGTGCATTTCTTACTGACTGCACGTGTCATTCTTCCTTTGATTTCATTTGGAGGGATGGAATAGTCTCAAGGTCATAAAAAGCATAAGGCTACTTCGGTTTGAGACGAGGCACAGCATTTGTTAAATTCTGCATGGTGTATTCCGAGAAATTCACTGGCAGCCTAGTCTGTTTAAGACGCAGGACTTCCGCTGTCGAGCTTGCTGACCCGTTTCTAGTCTAGATTGGAACTACTACTAAGCTACATCATGTTGACTTCAAATAGTCTCACACTCAGGTAGATTGACTAGTCCAAGTTGCACTCATTGCGAGGCAGATCGGACCGTCTAGATAGGTAGCATGAAACATTTCTTCAGATTGGTCGTATGTCTAATAGCTTTCGTGACATGTATTCCGGGGGTGGCCAATAGTCCGCTCGGTAAGATGTCCAACGTCATTGTCAATGTCATGGCACCATAGGAATTTGCTTTGCTGGTTCACACTATGCCGGGTCCTAACTCTGCGATCCGTAGGCTTCTTTAACAGGACACATCGTGAATGGGCACGCAATATATACGGCCCACCTCCATTTACCCGGTTCTCGCAAGTTACCTTCCGCTCCGATTGTCTTTCTATCTTGGCTCTAAACCACTATGATGCCTTTCGGTTTGTCAGGATTTCCTTGTCGTCACTTGTCTCCTACATCCGGGACTTCTCATGCCGTTGTCGGCATGACTATAGGTGTTACACATGTAATGTATATTCTAGATAGATCGGAAAATCCATTTTTTGTTACACGCTGTCGGGGTGGTAAATATCTTGAAAAGGACGCGTTTTCCGCACAAACAATCTACTTGTTGGCTTTGGGGCACGTTCTAGTTAAGCCAAGATCTTATACCGCGTTGTTATCGTCTATTCTTGTTGTTCTTGTTGATATTTATTGTTCAACATGAAAGCCACGGCAGCACTTGTGTTCTTTATCGGTGCCATCCAGGCCGCTCCTCATTGTACGTATTGGAGTGATAGATCCGAAATCTACCTTTGCGTCCAGTGGTTTTAATCTATCACGTCTTCATATTATATAAATCCCGTTTGTGGTTGGATATGTCTGGGGGTTTTCATATTTTTATTTTGAAGTAGTATATCATGCTTTCTATCATTTACTGACAAGAACCCGATCAGATACGTTCCCAAAGCTCGCTGGGACGTCGGACTGGTCGTCGGTACGCCAGGTTAGTATTTTTGACTTGTTCACTTCTACTGTATCGACGAGGAGTAGTATCCTTTTACTATCAACGTGAATAAATCACTGACATCCGATTCATCATTATCAGACAGCCAACTTCCAGAGCAATGGGCCCGTGACAGACGTGACAACCGACGCGAGTAAGGAATTCTCGGAATCATTTTCTTTCTCTTTTTTAGCAATATTTCAGAGCACGAGATCTATCTCCCTTTCGAGTCACGATATTTACCGCCCAGAAGCTTCTTCTGAACCCCCCTCAGAAATCACGCTCCATATGGCGATAACTAACACCTGAGTGTTTGCAGTCCGCTGCTACGAGCGGGCACCGGGGGGCGCACCAGACATCACCAAGGTCAACGCCGGCGGTCAGATCACCTGGACAGTGGCGCCAAGTATCTACCACCCTGGAGCCCTATCGGCGTACATGGCCAAGGTCCCAAGTGGCCAGACGGCAGCGACGTGGGATGGCAAAGGCGCTGTGTGGTTCAAGGTGTTCCAGGATATGCCTTCAGTTAGCGGTGGGCAGTACACCTGGCCTTCTAATGGTGAGATCATTCCTTTCATCTCTTTTTTTTTGGGTCAAGTTTTGTTCTAGATTTGAAAGGAACATCTAGGACTTTGGGGATGAGGGTGGAGAGAAAGATGCCACGGGGTGGTCGGCAATATTTACCGCGTTCTGATATTGATATGGATCTTCACCGCAGGGAAATCCCAGGTCAGCTTTACTATCCCGCAGTGCCTCGCCAGCGGCGACTATCTGTTCCGTATCGAGCACGTCGCTCTCCATAGGTTAGTTCGGTCCTTTTGCATCGTGCTACTCCTTCCCTGGCTTATCTAATTCCATCACGATCCAACTACTAATCTAATTACACCTCACCCCCTGCCACGAGACCAAGAAGGGTTATTTTTCTTTTCCTTCGTATTCTTGATCCTTCCGTCATTCCAAGATCCATCTCCGGGTAAACTAGGCTAACATACGTACCCCAACACGTAGCGCGAGCTCCGCAAACGGTGCCCAATTTTACATCTCGTGCGCTCAGATCACCGTCTCCGGCGGTTCCGGCTCCAAGTCGCCGTCCAACCTCGTCTCCTTCCCCGGTGCCTACAAGAACACCGACCCTGGTCTCCTCATCAATATCTACAATAACGGCGGCAAGGCCTACCAGCCTGCTGGCCCCGCCGTCTTCACATGCTGAAGAGCGGTCTAATTTTAGGTGAATTGCTTGTCAGGATGGGGGAGAAAGGCTGTCCACGAGGACAACGGTCAAGTGATTGAAAAGCCTAGTATTGATGTGTTCCTCGATGTTAGAATCCCTTGAATTCAGCTCCACTGCCTAGAGTTTCTCCTCTTCATCTGTGCAATGTATCTTTTTGCAGCACTGGTACATATATGGATCAACATTGTCGTTGTCTTAGTAAATTTGGTTGCTTGAGGTTTGATGTACTTGTTTGCTATCCGTACCCGGCCCAGGAAGTTTAGTAATCATGATATTATTCCAGCCTCATTTAATTACCGGTCATTCGAAAATGGTTGCTATATAAGGTACTCCGTAGACAGGAGTTAGACTCTAGGATTAGCCTACATATAAGCACACACCGCTTCATACAGTAGTAGAGAACTTGCAATTTAACACCCATCATCGCGCCAAAAAGGTTAGTTATAAAGATATACTAACTGGATACATGAAGATGATCAAGTAATACTACGAATCAGGACAAAAAGGATAACTCTCGATCGGGGAATCGAACCCCGGCCACCTGCGGCTTGCTTTCATGATTACTAGAGGTCCACTATCGTGAATCCCAAGTTCCTGTATGACAATGACAAGCAGGTATCCTGACCACTAGACCAATCGAGATAGCGACTGATGGGATTCTGGGCCTCGTATATCGAGTCAAGGCTGTCGCTGTCGGGTTCGCGCTCGGCATCCCGTGGTGGCCCAACCACCGGGATATTACCACGTGCGAATAATTACAGAAGAAGCAGGTGTTCTGCGTGGAACTCATTTAGTAGATGGTCATAAGCAGATAGATCGATCATTAACTTACGTACTAACTTGCGTAGTCGTTTTCTTACTTACAGTAGACTTTGTAGGCTCCACTGCCACGTAAAATAGAAGCTAGGGGTGGGTTCATCAAACAATTATAGGACTTGCAGCAACTCGTGGTTCAGTTTTAATATCAATGTGAAATTAGAATATTCATGGCTCTTTGGAAATTTGTACAATGACACTTACTAGACAGGGCATTGCTGAATACCTAAGTAGTAGGTACACTCTCGAGGCATACGTGATATTACTCATGATATGTAGGTGAACAGAGGTTTACCAGTTTAATACAAGGTCAATATGATATACGTTTTGAGCTATTCTGAGATCACCTAGAGATTCAAGCGCGGCTATCAATATCATCCTAACGGATTTTGTATGACACCAATGTAGTTGGGCCGTATTAGCGTTGCCTTTGTAGCTGTCACAAGATAATATGATGTATGGTGATGCAATAATAAGACCAGATCGTCAAGCCGATCTTCATGTTGTATACACATCGTGTTAAGGGTACTCCAAATACTACATAAAATGGTGCCATTCATAGAATCCTGGGGTTAACCTCTGGAGTTGGTAACTTATCGTGGCCTTGCCGCCATTACTAGCCAGATTTCCATGACTCAGTTCTGACAAAGAGACAGGGGGATAGTCGAAGTCTCTGGACCTGAATCGCTAATACTGAGATAAGATGTATTCCTATGGTGCCCTCAGGGCCACGCTTAAAGGGATCGCATGTCACAGGAACTGTTGGCTTAGACGACGTTTATGGTTCGTGAGGCCTGTGTGTCTCTCGGCCGGTGGCTGGTTGCATCAAGTTCTTGATTTGGAAGTATCTTCATATCACGGGGTGATCCGGGGAGACCTCTGCAGCTAACCGTCCGAACTTGCCTTCAGGGGGTGTAGGCGAGCTCGATGCGACCGAATAAGATATAGGGAGGCATGCATTTTGATGATTACGTGGAATGAGCATGGATGTCTGGCTCCAGACTCTGGTCCTAGTCCGTCTATAGCCTATGAGGACTCCGCCCAAAGCGCAGGTAAATGATTTCAGTCGTGGCTTGAAGATCGATGGGGGAACCGGTCCTTACCCCTTCATACAAGATAATGTAGGAGGTACGTCACAAGCATCCTCTCATGTGCTCTAGCTTCCAAGCGAATGAGAATTAAAGTTACATACACGAATGATAAGAATTTGTCACTTACAGTTTCGACTCAAAAGCTGGCGTAAGGGGAAATAACGTCAACGCTAGCCAACGTTGTTACTAATCATCTAGATTTGTATTGGGCAAGCCTTAATGTACGACTAGTTTGTACTTAGGGCTAGCCATACCGACGATAGCAAACGTCTCATATCTTCATCCAGCCCTAAGACATGTAAACCGGCAACTGACATAATACTAGTAGTAGTCTAATAAGTTCTTAGCCAGCCATGGATGATAGGTCAAAAAAAAAATAGAGGCAGCCTCCGACATCGCCACCAGTTATAAAATTCTTTTTCTGGAACCAGATGTTAGAAAAAAGAATTTATTCAGCGAACAAATAACCTGATCGTTCCTACCAATAATTGTAAATTTGACAGGTGAGTTCTTTCGATTGGGGCGAAAGCAAGGGAGTCGGTTATTTTTTTTAAACAGGGTTTTCAACCACCAGCCAAGCTTTTCTCAGCTCTTGGGTTGGACGTATGGCGTGCTCTCGTTGAAAGGACCCTCGCGATCCCGCGCGATTCCACCCAGTTGCTTGCAAAAATTTGTCGATGCGTTGCAAGTCTTTTATTCTCTACAAGAGTAGAATATTTGTAGTCCAGTGAATATGTGAATGTCTATAGTTTGCTTTATCTCTTTTAAATGTTATTTAAGTATATCATATTCATGTTAGCAATCCCGGTGGCTTGGATGACCAAGAAAATTCAACCCCGTCATCCCGCGTTTTCAGCAGCAAGCCACATAGTAACGCACGTCTTCCAGGCAGGCGGTAAAGACCCAGGCCTGTCACAGCCAGTGACTCACAGACGCCTGAAGTCTCAATAGGACCGAGAAATAATGGCTGGGTAATATGCAAGCCACTTTACATCAGAGACACTTGATGGATAGCTGGATTATCCTTTGGCCATTCGTGGAAGAGACATGGTACCGTTTCTCTCGTTCGCAAATGTTACCCATTACAGCTGATGCAGTGATTGAGATTGACAGTGGTCTCGTCTCTGTCTAGCAATTATTAACTGGACACTATAATAGCTAATGCTAATGATAGCAGCATGTTACAGAGAACAGTACTCTTGTGAAACCCGCCTCACCATCACTAGCGACTCTATCGATCCCACGAGTGTAACGGGATCTAGCAGGTTAGTAACAAGCGACAGCTCACCATCTGAACTAGAAGACAGCACCAATCACTGTCAGATCGCTGTGGTTCCTACCTTAGACCGATCTCATACAAAGTAGTACGTACACCCAAGAGACTGATAGACACCGCTAGTGTACTGTACACCTTGTGGTACTACTGACTTTTTGGCGTCACGGCAACCCATCCGAAAGTGCACTAGGAACCATGGAATGCATCAACATGTCCCAATGCTTGTGCTCCGTTCGCTCTCCCCCTTCCCCTTCCCTGTTTCGACTTCTGGTCATATAATACGGCCCACATGCCCTGACGCATTGATGATCGAAAGAAGAACAACCTGCATATTTGGACAAGAGAGAAATTCGGGGGGTTGAAGAATACCACCTCATTGAATCATGGTCCCGTATACGGTTAGGATGTCATAGTGATGCTAGCACGATCCGGGCGTGCCGAATCCACAAAGGCAGAGGGGAGGAAGAGGGAGAGCAAGGTACAGTACAGCCGAGCGGTCACGATGCCGATAAACGCTGCTCTGCTGGTCGGCTTGGGACGGGGATTATTGTGGCTGGATCGTGCCACGGGTCGGGGTCTCGCTACTAAAGCGTGTGAAGATCGAGCACACCCTACCTACAGTAGCATCTCCTATCTACTTTACATACACACTACTGCCGCATGCTCGACCTATACTAAAGCGAGCAACATCTCATTTCCCCTAGTCTGACCTAGTGCGTTTGCGCGAAGAACGACTTGGTTTCTCGAACAAGAAGACGCAGTAGCACACTACAGCTCTTCCTGGCACAAAAAAAAAACCTCTCTTACTTACTTACAAAAAAAAAACGCCCCCCACTCCGCCTGCATGTGTGAGGGCTTCGGGGAAATTACCCAATATTGTATTGTATCTCCCTCGAAAAGATTTGACTTCTGCCACACACAAAAAGGAAAACTCCTCCAAGAGCACAGCACGGTGGGCGCATTCGAATTTGGCACCAGCCATCATTGACGTCAATGGCCAGAACCGCGAAAGTGCCTGGCTGAAGTGAAGTGCCTTTCTTTTTCTTTTTCCTTCCGAGTTTCACATCCACCAGCTGCTTTTGTGACGAACGACACCGGTGTTAGGGCTGAGTTCGAAGTACGGTGCAGTACTTACGTACATAGTGGGCACATCAAGTTCTCATATATGTACACGTCTGGTAATATAGACGGGCTTTGTATTATATGCTGGAAAAAAAGATGGCTGGGCGGCCTGCTGTAGTGTAGTGTAGTGTGGAAAGTATGAAGAAAAGGGATAGGTACACAGTTGTTCTGTGCATGATCGCCACTGCAGCTTGGCAGCAGGGGTCCTTTTGTAGATCCAAGAAGTGGGTACTGTGCCCAGGGATCTCAGAGATATGGATGGGTAGGATTACATTTACCCAAGCATCATCGTGCGTAGGTATGTGATCTCGTGTCGACCTTGAAAGTAGCAGTAGTAGCAGACGATTGCGCGATGGGGGGTACTGTGAGACGACTCATCCCTCGCAGATGCGGCCTATTAGTTCGAATGCCCCCTTCTAATTGCAAAGGACGCTGGATAAAGCGTGATGAGGCGAGTTAAAAAAAAAAAAACTCTCGAGTGTCATGCCATTATCCTGCGAGAGCGCGCGCGCGAATTGGCGGAGAGAGGTAGGTAGCCAGCTGAGGCCTGGCCAGTTATGCGTAATCCGTTGATCTGTCCTGCGGCGATTTTCCCAGGTTCTGTATGGCGATTCGATCTGCGGGAGCAGGTCGAGTGTGCCCATCCCCCTGTTCACGCTGTAGCAAATGGCCTTGATGGACTCTGCTGTGGAGCGACTCGTGTTCCCTTGCATCTCGGCCTGATAAGACTAAGCATGGGGACTGACTGACTGACTGACTGACTGACTATCTGCTGCTCGTGGAAATGACGGAACAGGAACCACATAGAGTGGCAGGCTCGCCCAGCTTCCGGGTGTAAGTGGGCAATTCCGGCGTGTTGAGACGCCGACGCCGGGGTCGTCGGTCGACATGACTCGATGCCATGATTCTAGCATTGTTTAGGTTAATGAGGTTGTATGTATATAGAATCTGCAGCACTGAGAACGGGCTGGATAGTCCAGGGTAGTGGGTCTAGTATAGATTGCATGGCCATGCAAGGCAACCCATGAGCGGCGCTTTATTCCGAGTTCTTCTCACCTGTGAACCGCGGTGCGGTGCGGTGCGGTGCAAATAGACTCGTGAGAATACAAATGATTTGTAGGGCAATGAATATCTGGCCAAATATACTGTAGTAATCGGCCGTCTCGGCGAAGGCCTTCTGTTCATATATTAGCATGCATTATGTTTCGGCAAGGTTCCGTTCCCTCGATTCTTCGCAGACTATTAACCAACTTCCCCCCTCCCAAAACAGACTGTATAGCATTGGTAGTATTTGCTATGCGAGATTGAAGGAAGACTCCCTTGGTTGGCGGAAACGA